AGAACAGTCAAACAAGCCAAGCAGAAAAAAACAAGCAGAAATGCCAAAGAAAAAGTAAAGACTTTGACAGAACAGAAATAAAAAACAAAAACAAAAACAAAAAAGAAAGAAAGTATCAACCCTTCCAGATAAACCAGGCAGGAAACATATCTGGATGAGTATGTTAACAGAATCTTGCAAGTCTGGAAGTACAAACTTCCTGCTACCACTTTTAACTGATTGATCCATTAGGGCAGGTCCTTCTTCAGTTCTAATTCAGAATTATCTGTAATAATTTCCCACCAGTACTTAGAACTGAAGAAGCTTCTTGGATGAGAAGTGAAACATTTTCAAAGCAAAAAAAACCAAGAAAATCCAGTTGTCTTTTGGAAAATCACCTTTGGGACATGGAGACAGAGCACTTGGAAAAAAAGTGATAAAATGGTTGCCAATTTTTTAAAGAAATAGACAATACAATACAATAATGGGAAGAATTATGGTACAAATTTATAAAATTTACCCCACTTTACTATTTAAGGGGAAACTGATAAAAAATGTTTTACACATGGTATACAGCCCCATCAATAGTTGCTAAATCATAAAGTAAAAATTTTGGCAATGCCATGAGACATAAGGAACATTTTATCATATATGGTAAACAAGGAAAAAAAAACCCTCCAAAGTACTTGAAAGAAGTACACATTATTACTGAGAGAATTTTAGAAATCATATTTGAAATGAAACCACTTTTTTTTCTAGTCATAAGTCTTAAATATACTAACAAAAATATCACAATTTATTAAATAAATATTCATAGCTACAGGGATAAACTTAGAACAACATTAGAAAAGAGTTATTAATGATAACTCAGAATTTAAACTTAAATAGATTGAGAACCTAAAATTAGGGAATATAAAATAATGACAAAATTAATACTATGTGTTTGCAGAAGTTTTACCTCATTCAAGCAAGAACGGTTTCCATAATACCACAGCAAGGTAAATTATAGATATTTGGAATATGGCTATTAAGAGGAAAAAGAACTGATGAAAGAACTGAATTCATAAATGTACAAACATTTTAAATGTTTACAATATTATATTGTCAAGTACAACAAAGGGAAAGTTAGAAATTAAATATTTATAATATTTTTAGTAACAATAGTGGAGATTCTGGCACGTAGCTCAAAGATTTAATTCTTTTGTCATATTGTTGAAATAATATAATGTACCTTATTTTTATGGTTAATTTCTTGTGCATAATATATTGAGCACTAAAGAAAAATTGGGTTGAGATGAGCTATAGAAATTGAATAAATAAAGAAAAGCATAAATAAATAAAAAGAGCCAGTTTGGTTTAGTAGTTAAGACACCAACACTAGGAGGCCCTGAGCCTTAGCCATTAAGCCAGCTGGATGATTTTGGGCTACTTACTTTTTCTCATTCCGAGGAAGGAGCAGTTCAAACCACTTACAAAAATGTTGCCAAGTAAAGTGCAGGGAGTTGTTCAGACAGTTGCCTTGAGTCAATTCTCATTCAAAGAGGAAGGAAGGAAGGAAGGAAGGAAGGAAAGAAGGAAGGAAGGAAGGAAGGAAGGAAGGAAGGAAGGAAGGAAGGAAAGGGCAACATGATCATCTAGAAGTTAAAAGGGGAACAATTCTTATATGCCCAAGAAACGCTTCCTATATTGATAATAGTATATACAAAATAAATTCAACCAATAAATAAATAAATAATGACTATTCCAGTTGTGTAATCTATTATTACTGGCTGGTACATCTGTTCCCTTTGAGCGCTGTCTGTTAAACAAGATAGAATTTTGGGCCCAGACATGCATGTCAGCAAGAGAAGACTTTGGAATCCATAGAGAAAATTAACTATGTCATATTTTCTGAGTATCCCAACTTCAAAACCTTTTAATTATAATATTTGTATCTGATAGATAGGGGCAATAATTGACCTAAGATCTAACATTCCTATTCTGGTGAGAGCCTCTATAGTCTATGGTTGCTTTAAATTACGTTGCTCTAAAATATGGACCATATTAAACAAGAAATATAAACATCTGCTTTTCATGAGTTCCAGTTCACATAAGAAGTATGGAAGCATTTAGAATGTATGACACCTTCTACATCCATGAAGATGATTATATGAAAATAACAATTGCTCTAATTTCAATCAATAGGTAAACTGGAAACTGATTGGTTTCAAGATGCAGGACACAATTACACAGTTTTACTTTGTCCTTTTATCCATTGCTAGATTTATTATGGTTGTGTAATTATTTTTAGACTGTAGTAAAATTTTCTTTTTAGTACTTTTATACTAGTAACATAGATAACAGCTGGTCAGACCCCTTTAGTTTGAAGTTGGTTTCTAAAGATTCAAAGGAACTCCATACCTTTGTGATCTATTTGATGGCAGTTTTAGCTTTACTCTATTAAATGTGTTTCTAAATGAATGTTGAAAATGATAGGAGGTAGCAGTGATGTTCTACATTTCTCGATAGGACTTGGATTAAAACATTTCAGATAAAAAGAACTGTCTAGAATTGGGGAATAAAAAAAAAGATAGGTAGCATCCTGTATTTCACATGAGAAAACTTCCTCCATTGCCAATGAAATTTAAGAGCTCAACTTTAAGATGTTTTTGCACTTTGATATTGGCAATGAAAATAGGAAGGTGTGAAGTTGCCTCACATTAATTGAAAATAATGGTCTACATGTAAACTAAATTTTGTTCAATATTTATACACATACAGAAGACACAGTTTCCTATATTTATCACTGCAAGAATTTTTGGTAAGTGATCCCTTTTATGTAAACGGGATGAGTGATTTATTTTTGTCTAGGAATCATAGTGTTGTTATTTTAATTTTTTTTATTCTTATAGCTGCAGGCATCATGGTCTGCAGGAATCCTCCTGCCAGTTACTGTTGGCATAAGAGTGGATGGGATTGAAATTTTCCCTTTTTTATTATTATTAGGCGAGAGGAATAGAAAAAAAGTGCTTTAAAGTCTGAGGAATAATGCACTTGTTTTTTTTTATTTGCATTGTAAAAAAGAAATTATGCCATTTTGCTGTCATATTTCAGTGGCCCAATCTTGGGAGACTTTGTGGTCTGCAAAAATAGGATTTACTAACAGTTGACCCATCAAAGCGTTAATTGCCAAGAAACATATGAGCTTGATAACAATTATACTAAATGAAAACATAATTCTGTTTTAACAATGCAAATGTCAATACATTGGTTTTTAGTTCCTTGGGACAGTTTCTCGTTTGATCCACAAATCCACAAAGAAAATGCAGTCCCTTCAATTCCAACTGCAAATTTTTTATACTACTATGCTTTAATGCCGTTTGGTTATCCCAAAGAATTCTTCACTTCCCAGTTTTTAAGGTGTTCTCAAGACTTTAGGGAGAAAGGATATCTTGCAAAATGTTGAAATAAGATTTGTTTAGAACAACATTCAAGATAATTTTAATGGCTAGTGAATGAAGCTGTTTTTGAGATGTTTTATGAATTTTCCTAGGTATATATTTTCTAGCCCAAAAATGTTAATATCTGTCAAAGCAACATGGATTCTTATCCCTGCTTGCTGTTAATTTAGTTCCATTTGAGAGATTTCAATTTCATAGGATGATTTCTGAGGCTACAAGGTCATTTATATGGAGGTTTTTTGCCAACTTTATTCACATCAGTGAATAAATACTTCATTTTTGTATGCACTTTATGTATTATTTGCATATATGAATTGACTAGGCTGAGGGGGCTTTTCCCACCTCCTTCCTGCATGATCTCTAATTTAGTTAATTATTGTTCTGCCACCTCTAAATATTGCAGATGCCAGGAAGCAGAACATTAAATGAATGTTTGCCATTAATACAAATTACTGTGCTTTGACAGTTTGCTAATCAACTGAAAGAAAATTATGCTGTAAAAATATGTATGATTGCCTTTTAACCTATCCTAAAGCTCTTACATGGATGTAGTCTTTTCACTAGAGGTTCTGTATTCTGTAAGCAACTTTGATAAAGTGCAGCATCTAAAACTAGGGAGCATCAGCACTTTTAATATTTGAGTTTATGAAAAGCATTTTAATTTTTTTCTATTTAATTAGCTTTATATTTCAATCCAGATATTAAATTTAAATATGGACTTGTCAAATTACTAAGTTGATAATGGAATAAACTAATTTCATTTCATGTCAGTATATTAGATAGTAAGTTAACCACAGGTACAACATCTAGGTTAATGCTGATCAATGTTGTTTAATTGTCATGTCTTTAACTAGCCTAAGGTATTTTTGTTAAACACTAACTTACTTAAGATCATGAGCTTTTGTGAATTACAAAGGAAAGAGTGAGTTTGTCAGGCAATAAAAAAGAGGAAAAGACATCTTCCTGAATTTATTGATGCTTTTTTCAGAACAAGAGTTTTGGAACAAATTATTTGGTGTTCAAAGGACATTTTCATCTGCTTCATGCAGATCAAGATATTATTTTTTATTGAAACCTTTGAAATTCCTTACTGGTAACATTTTAATTAAATTGGAAGGGAAATCCAAATATCATTGTTTCTCTAAAACAGGGTCTACAGTTAAATTGTCATAAATGTTTTAAGATAGCTTGTTCAAGTAAACGCAAGGAGAGCACACATACCTTTCAATACACTGATATGAAAATCTCTAGTGAGACCAAATGAAAAGTATCATGGTATGCTATTAAGAATAAATACATTATTATGATATCAATTATATATTTGATTTATGTTGTTTGTATCTAATGGTTTATGTTGATTGCTTTATTTAGTATCCTATGACTATAACTGAGTGTTGTATATTATGATTTATGATTATGATCATGATTTATCACTTGTTGCATATATACTGACAGCTTATGCACGGGAGACAAATTCCTTGTGTATACAATCACACTGGGCCAATAAAGAATTCTCTTTTATTCTATATGTAATGTAAACAACAGCTTCATTAGTATTATAATTGCTTATGCTTATTGCAGGGATGGGCTGTTTCTGGGGGGCAGAGAAAAAATTTTGGAAGCAGAAAGGAGTCTACTCTACTCAAGTAGGTTATGCAGGAGGATATACCCCAAATCCCACGTATGAAGAAGTCTGTTCAGGTAAGGTTCATATTTTTATGGATTAGATATCTCTTATTGACAAAATTAATGGAAGAAATAAATATTCAGGAAATCAAGAAATAAAATAACATGCAAGAGAAATCTATGCAGCTGAAGTTATTCGCATATAAATTTATAAAATTGTTTTATACAAATTTATTTGTCTAGCTTCATTCTTCCTACTCTGTAAAACTTTGACAGTCCTACAGGTCAATATAGTTGACTGAATCAGTATCCTTCTTCCTTATGCTAACTATATTATTTTTAATATCCAGCATAGCAGGATTGTACATAGTATACATTCAGTCATCATAATTGAATGTATGGATGATCTTGGGGAAAGAGGGGAAGTGATACTGTCTAGGGACCAAACAGGCGAGAGAGGCAGGAGCCCTCAGTGGCTTTAATGCAACTTTCAGGGGAAAAAAATGGGAAGGACCCACCCTAATGGATCCAGCAGATAAAAATGGTATTGGGATATTTGTGCCTACAGATTTGCAAGATTCTGTTAATGTAACCTTACAATAAACTGGAATTTGTTCATCCAGTCCTGTTTCCTGCCTGGTTTACCTGGGAGGACTGACAATCATTGCCCATTATTTTTGTTGTTGAGGATTGTACATTAGCATATTTTTCAAGAATAGAATGAAGGAAAGAAAAAAAGAAAGAAATATTGTGTGAAAAATATTTTTAAATGGACAACGTAAATACCTAAATAAATTTGAAAAAACAATATATAGTGCAATAAAAATAAAAACAACAACCAAGCACAAACTTCCCACCATTCCATTTAAAAAACTTACTTTTTAAATTGAATTGGGCTTTCTTATTTATTTGTTTGAATTTATATGGCCTCCCATCTCAACATTATGACACTGCCGAACAGCAAACAGTTAAAAAAATAGCATAACAGCAACATAAAAATAAATATATAATTAGCATCTGGGATAAAAACCACAAACAATCATCAGAATAATTATCTCATGGTCTCTCCTATAAGTTCTGATCCCAAAATAGCCACTAGTTTTAAAGAAACAAAAGTATTAGGACCACAGATGGTGCAAATTTTGGAAACATAGTTTGATTTATGGTCCTTGAAACAATGTTATTTCTCCTTTGAAATGAATTAATCTTGTACCCATTGAAATAGATTTTTTTCTTTAAGATTCCTTTGATTTACATCCATTTTAAATAAATCTATTGTTCCTTTGAAGCAATTGCTTTCCTTGCCCTCATGCCATCACTTGCAAGTAGTTATCCAAATGTTGTTTCCTAATAATAATCAGGATCTTAAAATCATAATACATTCCTTCACCTGGTGTATTAAGCTGCATCCCTTGGTTTTTCCTGTTTCCTTGAAAGCAAAAGCGAGATTATGATCTAGATTTGCTGTTTTGTGCTTGTATGCTTCATTTCGTCTAAGCAAGTTTCTGTACAATTAAGAATAAAGGAATTTTATATTCATTATGATTGCTCTTTTTGCTCTTTTAACAGCCTTCTAAGTTCACTTCCTCTCCCCATGAAAATAAAACTGATGGTAATATCTGCAATACCACTTGTTAGTCAGAATGTGATTTCTTTGTGGATTCTTTGATGATGATGATGCAACATTATATACCCTAATTCAGTACTTTCTGCAGATCCTAACTATCTTTGTAGGTATTATAATCAGTTACACCAACAGTATTTGCATTAATGCAGTAGTGTGATGTAAAAACTGGATTTTAGAAGTCTGTGGAATATTTAGAATCTGGTGTCCAATTCAGCTTGCTCCTGGCCACAGAGTAGCAAGGGACTTCATAATATAAACTTGCAGCTCATGCAGCATAGCCATTTGGAGCAACCGAGTATTGCAGAATGTGTCTTATCTCATGATGAGATATTTTAGCAGAATGTAGAAGCAAACCTTTGTGAATTATGTATTATGCTTTTAAGAATGATTATCATCACCTTTTATGTTAGCAAATACAAACCATGTTGCTCTGAGCTCAGGGGTGGGATTCTACAGGTTTGCACCTATTCTCTAGAACTGGTTGTTAACATTCTAAGCAGTTTGGAGAACCAGTTGTTAGAAGAAATTACTGGCTTAATCCTGTAAGGAAGGCATGAAGGAAACATTCTGGTGTTGCTTACAGAAACTGCCTTTCCATTAACCTTTATTACATGGTTGGCAGGACTAGACTTCCTGTCTCTGGAACTTTTCTGGAGTTTTTTCCCCCTCCTTTCCTGGTACTTTGCTTGTGTGGAATGGCCAAAGTTACAATGGCACTGAAAAAAGTGACTTATGACTATTTTTCACACTTATGACTGTTGCAGCATCCCCATAGTCAAGCGAGGCTAGGGGAGGAGATGCATGCCTTAATGTGAGTGATGTTGAGTTGGCCACACCCAGCCAGTCACATGACCACCAAACCAGGCCCACCAACTAAGCCACGCCCACAGAACTGGTTGTTAAAAAAATTGAATCCCACCCCTGTTTGAACTAAAACAGTAATCAAATTGCTCTGACTTTTGAAGATAAGTACCCTGATAGAAAATTATTTTTATATCTCTGTAAATTGTCTTACAGATGCATGTTTGAAAAGATATTTGTACTGGATAAATGTTTTGGGTTATTTCCAGTGCCTTTGACTCAATAGACAAATACACAGTTTTGGCTAGTATTATGTAAAATTCATGATGTTCATTCATTATGAAATATCTCTTTATAGTTTGCTTACAGATGTTCAGAACAACTTTTTATTTATCAGTATATTTAAAAGTGTTCTTAGATCAGCACATATACAGTGGAACTGAGGACTGATGGAAAGAAAAACTGGTTGATTCAACAGCTGCTTGGAGTTATTAGCCTGTCTTTATCCCATGTAGTTTGCTTAAGATCAAAATATTTTTACATTATATTTCTGATTCAAAATATATAACCAAATAATTATCTGAAATTTTGGGTAGCCATTTAGAATTTAATTATATGGAGGAGTATGAGTTTTGAACATTATTTCTTATTTAGATACAGTACCCTAAAAATCATTTAGTTTGTATTTGAGCACCCTGTAATGTTTTTTTCCTCAGCAGCTATCAGTTTGTTTTTTAATATGTGTGAATGGTTTTTGAAAATTAATGGCAATTTAAATGCCTGTTTTTAGATTTGTTGCCATGATACCCCCAGTTTTGTTTAAGTAATTATGGTTGTTTCAGAATTTGCTTTTTAAAAAAGTTTCCTTCAATTTTAGAATTTTGAGACAGCTGAGAAGTGATTCTTTACTATTATATTATTATTTCATGCCCACTTCTATCCTGTTTGTTGTCTGAGAGTTTGTTGATTGTTGTTCATTTATTAAAAATGTATATTCTGAGTTCTATTTTATTCAGCATGTAACACTAAAAACAAAAAGCAATAAAATTATAGGAAAAATACATTAAACTCCATGTCTATGGAGTTCAGCACTGGGTAGGGGATTGGAATTGGTGGCCCCATGATTCTATGATTCTGTATCACTTGTCTTTTTTCTAAAGAAAATACATAGCAATCTTTTGTTAATTATGTCTTTCCGAACATACTTCAGAAAAAGAGATGCTCAAATATCCAACTATCAAATGTAGATATAGCTAGAAGGGGAAGAAAGATAATTGTCCTATTAATATAACTGAGATATTATTTTACCTTGACAGATGTTCCTAGATTTTTAAGATGTTTTAGCTGCAAAATAAAACTATAAACATTTTCCCTGTTTTCTGGCACTACTAATGATGCCTACGGATGTGAGAACAAACTCTGAGGATTACAGGTCTGAAGTCTTCCAAGAGTGTAACAGTTGAGCATACTTTTTTTTGTTGAAGTATATTTTTCCATTGTGAAGGAAAGGATTTCTGTTAGATTTGTGATTATTTGTCTTACAGCTTCTCTTAAAAGAACAAGATGCAAGGATTTTAATATAGAAAGTTTCTGTATAGAGTGCAGCCTTCCTCATTCCAAAATCTTCTGCTTGTTTGGCTATATCATTTTTCACTTCCCTATGGTTGACAGTTGACATGGGCTGAAAGAGAGACAGGTCAGTTTGTCGAAGTAATCCCTATGCTTTGAAAGAATCTTAGGTGGCACAGTATAGAATGATAGCAATTCTCATTTTCCATTGTTTTATTGTTGTAAATAAGGGAAATGGTTCAATAAGAAAGCATTCACTGCTAATAGTTTCTATCCTGAACACTTTGATTCCTTGGAAACATTCTTTTGATTCCTTGGAAATATTTTTTTTTTAAGTTTAGTAAGAGGACAGAAGCTTTGAAAGATAACTTGTTTAATTCTTTTTGTCATTGCTCTATAATATGTTCTGTCGGCATAGAATAAATATGGTTCCATTCACCTGAGACAATTTTGAGCCCCTAATCATTAACATTGTCTCCCTAGAATTGGGGTGGATAGTTATCAGGCTTAAAGGGGGAGATGATTTCTATACTAGATAGATCAGACTCAAGTAGAAAATGAAGGTTTATATCATGCTTAAGATCTTTCTGAACTGATTTTTAACCTGAGAATTTGTAATCAGTCACAGATTTGTCCTTGGTTTCCCTTAAGTACATGTTTTCAGCAATCTATTTGGATTGTACAGAAACATTTGTGGATATAATGCAAACCATCCAGAGATTTCTGCTGCTATTTTCTGCCACTATTTCCCTAAACTTTGGGCAATTTGTAAGTTCCTTAGCAATATGAGTCTAGATGATGATACCAGGACTAAAATCCTGATGCTGCTCTCTGAGTAAATGATATGCTTTATTTATTAATTGAATTTTAGGCTGCTAATTATTTTGCTTGCCTAGCCATTTTAATCCGAATATAGTTTTTTTTTTAATTTTCCATTGAACATGGCAGTGGATTTTAACAAATATGCCTATTTTCTATGGAGATGAATAAAAAGAATAGGTATGGTCCATTAACCAAATGTCCTGGTATATCCTAAATGTTAGTACTGAAAGAAAAAATGACCAGTGCTGAGCATCTT